AAACAGACCAAACTATTTGTCAAGCATGCCATATCAACAAGTGGAAATATAAGTGTCCAAAATGTGAATTTCATTCATGCTCTTTACTATGTTCAAAATTACATAAAGAAACATATAATTGTAATGGCATAAGGTCTAAAACCACTTATATTCCAATGCAAGAATATGGATATAAAGAATTGATGAGTGGTACGTATTTATATTATATCTAGAGCTTTTATGAGATGAAAAATGAATCTGGTTCATATGTGAATTTATATTTTATTTATAGATTATGTTTTTCTCGAAGATGTATCACGTGCAGTGGATTTAGCGCACCGTACAAGAATTGATCAAGGACATAGATTTTTTCGGCGAAAATACCGTAATTCGTCAAAAAGTCGATTAACGAAACCTAATGATACACGATGTTTAAAATAAACATATTACACTAAATATTGAAATTAATGAGAGACAGATTTAAGCACGTACAGTATTTATTATGACGAATTAAAATGAAAACAGATTAAAATGAAATTGTGTATAACATGAAATAGACAAGCCACCAAACATACCAATTTTGAGGGTGCTTTTTTTCTAGTGTTGGGTCAGCTTTAGGGTCGAATTTATAATAAACAAGTATAAGTGGGTTTTAGGAGGCTGAATAGAAACCCTAGCGACATTTATTTTAGTTTTGTAATCCTTTTCTATGAATAGCGAGTCTTTTAATTTATGAATAAAAATGGTGTCGAAAAATGGGTGTTACACGTGACACTCTATCTATATATAAAAAACAAAGTCAATTTCAACGATTGTAAATAAGAAACACGATTTGCATTGTATAAGTGAGTTATAATATGATAATTTATATTAATTAAAAACTTTGACCGTATCAATTTCTTTTGAAAATTATTCATTACCAGTGAGATATATTGTCACCCCTAATTAAATCATGGTAAAAAATCCAGATAGATTAGAGATTTAGATCAATTTCATGAATTCAATACTAATCTTACCAACTACAGTTAGACCTCTACAATAAGCGCTCCGGATTGGTCTCAAGTATATAGAAACATAGTAAAAGTGCTCTATAAATGCACACCCTCTCTAAATAAACATTTTTAAAATTTGTCCTATGATCTCGAGGGGTGCAATTATAATGATTTAACTATACGACTTTAAAAGTCTTCAAATCATTCCGCCCAATGCATGATGGTCCGTTGATTATTTGTAATCGATGAACCTAGCATAACCACCAAGATTATTTATGTACCAGTGTGACAAATAATGCAGATCAATTTTTTACATTATTAATTTTTCACTATGTAAAAAATCGTGTCACGCTGGGTACTTTTGGTCAGTGCAAGCGTGAGTACGTATGTACGTACGTACGTACGTACGTAGAGTTAGGAAATACAAGTCACTCTCGTTATAATGAAGTGATCCGTTCCATAGTAAAAATTTTTAAAAAATTCATTATATTGAGAGGTTATTAGTAAATTCTCTATATCGAAAGGTATATTGACTAGTTTGGGATTTATCTTCACTATACTATAACGAGAGTTCACTATAACGAGAGTGACTTGTATTTGCCAATATAAAGGAAGTTTGGGTATTAATGTTCGACTTATCTAACTTTTCCTCGAGTCATGGTCAGAATTGATTAACTGTTAATTTTTGTATCATCCGATTCGTCTTAGTAAATCGAATCAAATGGTACTACGTAAAACTGTTTAATTCTCACCGAAAAATGTAAGTATGCCACAATACCTCCCGTACCATAATACCCGACCCTCCCTTATATAATTTAAAAATAATATCAATCATATTTTTAAGCACTGATTATGGGGTTATAATTTGAACATGCATCACACAAAGTGACAATTAATTTTTGGGCACCGTTAGGGTAATGTGATAATTAAAATATTTTTGACCTAAAATTTTCGGAGATTTATAAAATAGAATATTAAGATTAGGTGAAAGAATTCGTAAATATGGTTTATTATATATTTATTATTAAAGATAGGAGACGTTTGTTTTTTTTCTTAAAGTTCACAATTTGCGTTAGTCATACTTTGTTTTCTAAAATTATTAAAAATTATTGCATGTACAGTTCCCTAATTCGTAATTAGATATAAGAGAATGCAAAAATGCACGACGTAGTTTGGCTCCAACTCATAAGAACATTATATATTTTGCTTTCTATAGATGCACGCTTTCTTTAAGTTCACGTTATTGCTTTTTTTTCACTTTGGTCCCAAGCAGGGTGCGCTTACGGAGGTTTTACTGTATTTGCAGAGAACTTGCATCTCTATATAAATATATATTTTTTTTTTGTTATAAATACGATATCTGTTCAGAGCAAAGCGAAACGGAGCGGTGGATCAAAATCAAGAGTACAGCACGACACAGCACGACACAGCACGATACAAGATCAAGAACAAGAAAAGTAGGTACTATACTATATACTAGCAACCAAATCCGTGACACCTTCATTTCCTTTTTTATCAAGGATGTCAATCTTATCCAAAAAGTTCAATTTAAATAATGCCAACTCGCGTTGCACGAAAGTGGAAGAGTTTGCGTTTGTTTTTAGGGCTAATAAAATGAACTTCTTATCGGAAGCGGATGACGCCCTTTCCTTAGAAAGACTGCGTAATACGCTAATTAGATTAGAAGATACTATAATTTTCGGTTCGCTTTTCATTAAAATAAAGTCTCAGCAGTTTTTTTTTTTTTTTTTTTTTTTTTTAAATGCAATTAATTTTTCCTTACGAAACAAATAGCACTCATAGAAAGAGCGCAATTCAATTATAATAAACCTGTTTACGAGCCCGGGTATTATGAGTATAATGACTGCAAAGATTTTAAGGGAAGTTTCTTAGAATACTTTCTACGAGAATCGGAAAGGGTACATGGTAAGTAGAAAAAAACAAACGGATAATTGTTATTAAGTGACTTACATTATTTTCAATAGCAAAAGTGAGAAGATATCAAAGGTGAATATACAAACATTCGGCAATATTATTTTTATTCCGCTAATAAATTAATTGATATAAATTTATAGTCCTGATGAATATCCCTTTACTGAACTGAAAAATCTTCCCAAACCAATCATTCCCCGTCTTGAATACCCGCCAATTCTTAAGCCAAATAACATTAATGTCAACGCGAAAATAATGGATTTTTATGTTAATCAAATTGTCCCCTCGTTATGTGCCATGGGTGACGATAAAAATTATGGTTCGGTTGCAACGCGAGATGTTACGTGTCTTCAAGCAATATCTCAGAGAATTCACTATGGTAATGTTATATTTCAATTGTTTATTATATTTCTTTTAAACAAAAATCTCATTTCTTAAAAAAAAAAAAAAGGGAAGTTTGTTGCCGAAGCAAAATTCCGGGATCCAAAAAATAAATCAACTTATAAAGAATATATAAAATCTCGTGATCGCAAAGCCATTGAAGAGTTATTAACAAACAAAGATGTAGAAGCAAAGTTGCTAAAACGTCTTAAACGTAAAGCTCTCATTTATGGTCAAGATATAACTGATGATTTTAAATTAGATCCAGAACATACTTCAAAACATTTAAAAATCGATGTGGATTTAGTGGTTCAAATGTATGAAAAATTTGTAATTCCTTTGACAAAGGAAGTTGAGGTTGATTATCTTTTAGAAAGACCCCTTGACGACTGAGCGAAATTTCATATAAACTTATAAATTCATTATTATTACTAGATTCATAAATAAAAAAATCTTACCAATTCGTTGATTGGTTCATAAACATGCATACATGTAAAATATGTAAAATCTTACTTGATGCTTATATTAGGTAGTTCAAATTGCGTGACTCGTGACATTTTCGAGTCATTTTCGTGTTTCTTTTGTGTCACATCATATGTTGAATAGATTTTGTTCCGCCTGTTAGTCAGCGTTAAAAAACTCGGCTAATTAATTTAGAGCGTTCTTTTAACATTAGTAGTGCAACTTATCAACTTAGTTTTCTAATTTACGATCCATATTTAAATAACGTGTCTAACCTTTGAATGGTTAGAAATGGATACTTCAACGCCAAGTACACCTCCCGGTCCTCAAAACGAAACAAATACTACAAACGAAAATTTAAGTAACGCGAAGACTCCTCCTCCTTCAACTGTTCCTATTGCATCTCCGTCATTATTAGGTACACCCTCTACACCAACACCTGCTACACCAGAATCTACCACATCTCTTCCAAGGCCAAGCATAGGTCCAATATATTCCGCGGTTTATTCCGGAGTACCGGTTTATGAGTTTCTTGTACGAGACGTCGCTGTGATGCGCCGGCGTCCGGATTCTTACTTGAACGCCACGCAAATTTTGAAGGTTGCAGGTCTTGAAAAAGGTAAACGTACAAAAATTATCGAAAAGGAAGTTTTAACTGGTGATCACGAAAAAGTTCAAGGTGGTTATG